TAATCAGCTGGGGGGGAAATAGAGGGAGAATACTCTCTGCGGCATGCTCACCCCATACTCTGCAACCCTGTAGAAACTCTTCTCTACCGGGTCCATCTCTGAAGGTGAGGGGAAGGCTGGCATATCTCAAGCAGATTTCCCCACCTATCCCAACCAAATCTTCAGGACAAGTAGTATGAAGGACTGCAGACAGGGTAGGCTCTATCCTCCATTCCACATAACTATCAAAAGGGAGGGAGTATCAGGGACAGAGCATTTGGGGGAAGCCCCCAGCAGCATAGTTCCTGGGGGACCCAGGCTGTCCAGAAGCAAAAGGGAACTGGTGGGCAGCAATAAGGAGACAGAGAGTTTACACATAGATGCCTCCTTGTCTCTGGTGGACCTCATGGATTTGAGGCGTGTGGGATGCCCTGTCCTTTCCATGGAAGTACGACCACGCTTCCTTGATGGAAAAATTAGGAGATTTAGTGAGTGCAAACTGAAAATTGTAAGCTGTGTTTATGTAGGAGACTACAGAGTCCTTACTGTCACTATCCTCAAATGTTCTGCAAAATGCTTGGTTTTCCTTCTAGTTGAGGTATGTTGAACGCAGCTACTTCCTGAGCCAATCATCACTAATCCGGAGTGACTCAGAAGGGTGGCTATAGAGCCAATAGTTCATTTTCCCCAGGAACTGAGTGCTGTCTCTGCAGTGCTCCTAGCGTGGGAAGGATTTACAAGGGAGGATACTGGTGCCTAAATTGCCAGTTTCTGAGCACCTACTGCTCCAGTTGACCTCAATGGGAACTATAGGTGCTCACACCTCTGAAAATTAGGCCCTACCTGTGTGATACTGGTAACTTAAGCACCCATAGTTAGTAGACACTAGAAAATTTAGCCCTTAACACTTTCATAACACTGGGGAAAAAATCTTTGACTAAAATGCAAAAATGAAGACAGATTATCTGTGTTGATGCTTCTTGGATCTACTATTTACTTCTATTATCTTTAGAACATCTGCAAATATAAAACCAAACACAGTGCCACATTTCATGTGCAAGTCCCCAGGGTAGACTATTGCCCTTAAAAATGTTCTATGGTAAAACCAGAATGTTTCATTCTATAGTAACACTGCATGGGGTAGATATCAAATATTCCTAATTTTCAGCTTCCTGCCTTGTCGCCTCAGAATGTTTGCACTTTTCCATTTAAAGGGTTATCCCTCATAAGATATGGAATAAACAAAACTATGATCTATGAGTACAAAGAAGACAGTTCATGCAGCAAGTGCTGCACATATGTGTGGATGGCAGAAAACTTGTCAGTAACCTGGGAGCATAACACAGAAGTTAGCCATGCCTTAGTTATGGAGAGTCTGAGCCTCAAAGTCATGGGTCACTGACACTGTGGAAGGTATGGCTTTGAGTGGAGTGCTCATATGTGCATATGCAAATAAAGCCACCTAGACAAACCAAAGACCCCTACGCTCATACATATGGGCATACTACTTTCTCCAATGCTATGCCTTCTTCCCATGACCTTCCCCAAAGGAGGTAGAACTGTGAGTGACTAACTTCTGCTTTATGTGCCCAATGTTAGCCCTGGGAACAGCCTGTAGAAGGGGTTTGTGTATAAAGCACATTAGCACCACTCTTGCCGCATGCATATGCATGTGCAAGGGATTAGATTTTTATGTCAATGCCACTGAGTTTAAAAGATTCTGAAGTTGACAGCCAGGTTTTAAAGAGTGCTCTGTACTTATCTGCTCCCATTTATGGAAATTAAAGGCCTGATTTTCCTGAGGATTCAGTACCCAGCAGCTCCCATAGAACACAATAGATAGGAGGCTCAGGTTAGGTTGCCTTACTGAGTTGCTTGCTTGTTCTGTTGCTAGCTCATGTGAGCTGATGCTGACAAGATATTCACAAGCCTGTCTTTGGACCAGAGTCATTTGGAAATAAAATGATCAAAATCTGAACATCTATTTTAGTTTTCTTTATAATTTTGATTTACTGTAGCATATATAAAGGTATCATGGGTTCCAATAAAGACCAAACAAGGATGAAAAAATAATGCTTTGGAAAAACTAGACTGGTTCCCAATAATACATACATCCTTAAATTTCATAACCATGTTAGAGGGAGAATTATATACGCTATTATCACCCACGGTTCTGCTTTATTTTTAGTTATCTTTTTATAGAGATAGGAACAATTTTGTCTTTTCTGTTGATTTAATGGTTATCTGAGCTGATAGTATCACTGCCATTCAGAGCAAGGGATGCAAGTTTAAATCTATAGAGGCCATTACAGAAGGTGAGGCCTTAGGTTTGTGTGACCTATTAGTTGCTCTGGGCCCTGCTCATCCAGGGGTGCTGAATGATACATACAAACCCATCAAATTTCAGTTCCAGCTTTACTGTCTTGCCCCATTGTCTGCTTGTAAAGTTGAACTCTGGTACCACATCACAGTCCATCTAAGAGTATCACCACCCACACATCATAATGCCTCACAAACGTGGGAAGTTTATTACAGCCTGAGGTGGGCTGTAGCCAGGGGAGATCTACTGAGTGATGTGGATGCAGATATGTGGGGAGGCCCAGTCAGAGGTAGGGAAGGATAATACAGAACTCCCAGTCCTCATTACAATAACAGTGCATTTATCTAAACTACTCTGGCAGATAACATGCTTATATCACTGTTGAAATAATGTTAATAGTGTAGATACCATACAGAGATCTGGAGCACACACAGGAAAATATGGATAAGCCAACACAACACAAAGCATTTTCAATATCTAGTGGGAAAAGATGAGTACAAAGCATGCACCACCACGGTTAAGATTTTCTTTTGGAAACAAATCACTTATCAGTGGTTTACATTAAGTAGAAAGCATTTATCTTAGCATGATTATTGACCCTATTGTGTACAGTTGGGATATGTTCCTCATCCTATAATGAAATGTCAACTTGATAAGATAATTGCTTCCCATTAAATATAAATCATTGTATCTTAAGAAAATTTACTTTGCATTCCTATTCAGATAACTTCCTCCATTATAAAGCTAGTTCTTATTTCAGATATTAAAATAAAGACAATCTTTTCTAACCTTCCACACTACTACTATGTGCAAATAACAAACAGCTCAACTGACAGTTTTAGGTGCCAAAAGGATTTATAGGAACATGAAATCCCAGATGACTCAGATGAGTGCACGTTAAAAACAAAACAAACCCTCCCACGTCTTTAGATTAAAACTATATACAAAGCGTTTTGGAACAAGGAGTTTTTCCAAATCTAGCATAAAACAGAACAAGAATTGCTTTAAAATAAAAAAGAGAAATTTTCAATTTTGCAAACTACTGGATAAAAGTCTTTATGAAGAAACAAAGTCACTACCATGGAGGAATACATTTCCAAAGGAGAGAAAACCCACGCTCAGATATTATCTGGGGAAAATGCATTGAAAATTCCTTTGTGATTAATAGAGTTTTCTCTCCTCAGGGTGACCTCTACCTTCAGAATATGATGGTTTTATTATGATTAATAAATTTCATTTCC